GAAGCTAGGAAGCTGAAATTTTTGGAGCATGCTCCCATCGCATTTGCGGCTCTTCCATGTTAAAATTAACTTTCACGGGCGCTTGGAAAGAAGTGCAAAAAAGTTTTGGCGGAAAATGGTTTCGAAAACCAGACAAAGAAAAAAGCTGAATTTTTACAGAGATGTTCCTTATCCATATGTGGACTTAAGATCTCAGATTCACTTATCAGCTCTGCATATGCGTCACCGTGCAGATGCATCAAATTTCGTTGCTTTGCTAACGCTTCCTCAGTTTTTATGGGGTTTTTCTGGGTATTGTTGTCGATGAATAGACTTGAATTCACTACACTTGAGAAGCTTATCTGATTGTTCGAAGGATTTCCAATTTCGTTGATGATATTTTTCTCAGTGGGCACTGTTATGGGCATAAGTTCTAATAAAAATGTTGTTGTTTGTGATTTCGTTGTGCAGGTATATCAGACTCACATTACTGATAAAACCTGGGTCGGCCTGTCGATCATGGTAACAATTAAAATTTGGCTAATTTTGCCTTACCGCTAGCATTCTGCGGAAAATCCACTCATTAAAGTAACACTCGAAAAGCGGCTGAAAAGAATAGGGTGCATTACATTCGCAAATTACCACCGCACATCTACCACAGCCCCAACATTCCAGCTTGAAATGATTGATTTTTGGCTGGGCCTCAGTGGCCCTTTCTTTCCCTTTCTATTTCATCTGTTAAACCTCGCGCAAAACTTACAGATTATTCCATCCTGAACTGACAGCATCAACCTTAATTTAAATTAAAATATAGTGAGATTTGAATGCTGTTATTATACCATCGAATTCGCTTATAGTTTTGATCCTTTAGTTCACGCTTATGTCTTCCACCAGCCTATTTCGATCCAAAATGGTATGCATACCAAATAACTGAGCGGATCATATGTTTTGTAAAGCTACAAGGGTGCCAGTAATTTTTTGCTAAACTTCTGCAAAGCACTGCATATTTCCAATATTTCTGCTGCAATCGTCACATTGACGAAGTCCAGTTAACAGCACTGAATGGGAATGTATGCAACTTAATGGGCCGTAAAATTTTAGTCCAGTTTTTATGTTTTGCTTTCACTTGTTTTAACTTTTTCATAACCACAAAATGTCTTAATTTAAATTCCAGTGATAACACTCCTGTTGCTCGGGCAGCGTTAATATTCTTTATATACCTACTGAAAAAATCCTTACAAAACTACCTTCTGTTGTTCCTTTATTTATTGTTTCACAAGGGGAAATCTCTGGAGACCTCGAATTTTGGGGAAATATTCCATGTCTGTTTGCAGTTCAAAGGTTTCAAATTCAACTTCTTAGTGTGATTTGGTTTCACGTGCAGAAATATAAAGTTTTGGCGAGAGCAAGTGCTAGCTCGGGGCCACAAAGGCTAAGAAGCCCAAATTTTAGGAAGATCTTCTCTGCTCATGTGCGAAAGGCAGCCAGATAAAATGGCAGCAAAACGCTAGATATTACCACCCTCATAATGTGCACCGCAACTAGGTTAAAATCATCATCTGGGTCTCACGGACCCCTAAGAGTTTATGCGAATTTTCTGGCGAGGAAAGGTCTTTGGGGAACAGACAAGGTAGGAAGCCATAACTTCACAGGGATATTCTCTGCCCTTATGCGAACTAAATATTTCAATAGCGGTCTGACTGTAGGCGTACATCATTTGTACGGATACATCAAATTTTTAGGTTTCATAATTGCTAGCAAAATGCCAACTCGTCCTCTGATTTTAAGAAAATATTTGCTGTTATGTGTAAGTCCGCACACGTGAAAGAACATTCTCGTACAGCTCTGTCATGCGCAGAGGCACGAAGAACTATTTTTGGCGAATAGGTGATTTTGAAAGCCATTTGAGCTAGGAAGCTGAAATTTTCTGTTGAAATGACGGTGTGGGCGTGAGTTCAAGTGATTTCACTATAGTACGAAATTGTGCAAAAACGAATTATCACACCGACAAGCCTAGTGCACGTCTCAGTTGATACAACTTTATACCAATAAACGTACCCAGTTTACTGAAAAAAAAAACAAACATATATGCGGAAAATATATCCATAAAAAGGATGGTAACACGCGGAACGAGGACAGACTGCTTTTGTTGCATCATGATTGCTTGACTTCATGCGGTAAATCTCGAGCAAAAATTGCACTTTATTCCATTCTAACTGGCAATATCAACTTTAATTTAAACTGAAATATAGTAGGGCCTGGGAGCTGTTATCATATCATCAAAACCGCTTTCCTTTGAGTTTCACGCCTATGCCTTTCACCAGCTTAATTTC